TCATTGGGGCACAGGCAGCAATAAAAACTGACAAGTGTTCCAATCCCTCTCCACTCTATCCAAATCTTAAAAAAAAAAAAAATGTTTTGCCTTTAAGCAGATATCGAACCAATCTAACAATTGACTTCTGTTGAATGGGAATGTTCGAAAACCTAAGTAGCTGCAGCTGCTGATCAACAAATCAGTGTATTCTGACAGTGGAGGAGTCCAACTGTCAAAATACAATGGCACAGTAGGGAGGACTCCTCCTTCCACCTCACTTCTGTGGATGTGGAAATCTGCTTTGTTTAGACAGTAATCTGGTAATTGCCTGACTTGTCATATCTCAGAGGTAACAGTGAAGCCTTGCATCAGGGCCCACGGGGGTTCAGTAATGGTCACAGACATTATGTGTGACCTGTTTATGTTTTCTCCAACTCTGTGTTTTCAGGCACAGTGCAGAAATATACTAGCACAAGTCCTCCACCTATGGCTAATTTGCTAAGTCCACTACTGACAGACAGCAGAAAGAGGAAATAGAAAACATATTCAGATGCAGCGGCATCAGGCAAAATTATTACTGGGATGCAAGTCAGTATATGATTGGCATTGTTTATTTTGAACGTTGCTCAGTGTCCACAGTGCTCTTCAGCACCAACAGTGCCTGTTATCTTCACAGACACAAAAGTTAAACTATTGCAATCGAGAGCCACTACATTCATTAAAAACCACATACTACTGACATGGTGGGATACCCTTTCTTAGCCACCTCCTTTTGTCCATTTCTTCTAATCTATACCCGTTTTAACACATGAAGTGTTGACTGCTGACACATACACCTATCCATAATACTCGACAACTCCTAGACCTTAATGGACTCACACTTATTTCTACTACTGATCCAACCATTGGGTTTTCCCTCCAGAGGCTTTAGGAAGCCTATAGCTACTACTCTACTAAGTGCTTGAGTCTAATAGTTACAATTAATGCTTCTAACATTGATAGATATGGATCCGCAGCTGACCAACTTTTGATGTGTAAATTGTTGATTACTTTCCTTTCCCATTAAAGAAAAAACATTCAATAAAAACTCACTGAAACATACTACTGTTAAGGCTATTTGAGATTTGTAAATTTTTTTCTTATTTAAACTAGATATGCAATTTAAAAAAAATGACACCCTTGCCTTTGGCTACAACCAAATGAGTGTGGACTTGCTATCCACTTCTGCTGGCTCCATACTTGCTGCACCCTTGTCTACACCATGACAAACTATGGTAATTCCTGTATCAAATTTAGGACCTTGGGGTTGGGTTACAATGCGGAAAGGATGAAAATACATGCGTGTGTGAAAACTCCTGTGAAAACGGATTTTTCAATTAGGCATGAGGATGAGATGATGGATGTAGAAAACAAGTGCAATGAAACAGACACTGAGGGAACAGACAGCCGGGCAAAGATCACATTGCTAAACATCTGCAGTTATACTCATATTACTACTTTATTTGGAGGGAGTAAACATATTCCATGCAGGCACATTCATGAGGTACAAATAGATTTGTGATTTTTGCAATGTCTAGCCTCTAGGCAAATTCATCAATAGCTCGTGTCACCACCAATTTCAACAACTAAACAATGACAAATATTTTGCTGGAGGGCATTACAAATATGGCTGTTGTAAATAATAACTATGATTTAAAATTTTCGTCTTTTTAGTTAAAGAAAGTACAGGGGATGTCACTGCTGGCCTCCTGAATAAATGCTAGTGGCCTGGCTGTGTCTGACTTACAAAACATGAAAAAGTGTGCTAACTCACAACACCCTCCCCACAACATTGATCTCTATGGCACTTCTGCTCTGCTGTACCCTTCTTTCTTTCCTGGGATGGCCCAGAGCAGTTCTCATTGGTCAGTGCCGTCACATGCAGGCACAGACCAATGCTCACTCACTACCTGGATGGTACCCACCCAATGAGTTGTGTACTGCATTCTTCAGATGCCCAGACCACTACACTGGCTGCGGGGGCAGCAGAAGATATTTAAGGAAGGAAAGAAGTGCAATGGGGACACAGTGTGTGGGGAGCGTGTAGCAAGTTAGTTCACCTTTTTTGTGAAAAGGTGAACTATCCCTTCAAGCACTTTGGAATCACAGAATGGAACATGCATGCTTTAAATGAATGTCAGAAGAGTGCCAAAATTTCTTACTACTATATTTGGTCAAAGTCAACAACTCAGAAAAAAAAGAATAGTTCAGCAATGGCAGCCTCCATGACTCTTAAGTACAAAGTAACCATTAGCACAGACGTTGCTCTACAGGCAGGCTAAGATCTGTGACCTGGCCAGATTGCGCATTTCAACTAGGAAATAAAAGATTTTGGCAAATGTCCTCTCTTCTAAAAGGCCAATGATGCCAAATAGTAAGGCTCCGAAGTGCTGAAGGACCTTTCCATGGTGTCAAAACAGCTTTAAACCTTATTTTTAATTGAAAAAAAAGAAGATTAATCCAATTACAGAAGAGCTGTAGAAACTAGCATCCTCCACATCAACTCATTTGTTCAATTTTCTGCTAGGAGGGGAAAAAAAACAGAGGCACAACTTTACCAGATATTGAAAAAAAACATCAATTAACACAGGTATGTGTACATTAGAATCCATTAAATTCATTGATTAAAATATAACTAATTGCAGAACATGTTATGGAGAAAATGTAATCCAAAACACAAACACCATGTGCCAGAACATAACTGCCTACTGTATAGTTCTAGATAAGATCCATAGCAGTCCAGTGGGCACTGTAACAAATATTTCATTCCTGCATTTTTTTTTTTTTTGTGCAAAGAACCAATCTGTGTTTCTCTAAATGTCCAGTGTTCACATCCCCTGCTGCCCAACCCACTTTTTGTGCAGCACTTGAGGCTCCTCCACCTCCGAATCTGTGTTTCTCTAGTCAATGTCTCCTGAAGCATATCCCTATTCTACAAAGCCTCCTGTACCATGTCCGCAGCCTCCGACCTTCTCCTGTACCGTGCCCGCAGCCTCTCCTGACCGTCTCCCGTGTGTACCGTGCCCGCAGCCTCCGACCGTCTCCTGTACCGTGCCCGCAGCCTCCGACCGTCTCCTGTACCGTGCCCGCAGCCTCCGACCGTCTCCTGTACCGTGCCCGCAGCCTCCGACCGTCTCCTGTACCGTGCCCGCAGCCTCCGACCCCGTCTCCTGTGTACCGTGCCCGCAGCCTCCGACCGTCTCCTGTACCGTGCCCGCAGCCTCCGACCGTCTCCTGTACCGTGCCCGCAGCCTCCCCGACCGTCTCCTGTACCGTGCCCGCAGCCTCCGACAGTCTGTACCGTGTACCCTCTCCTGTACCGTGCCCGCAGCCTCCGACCCTCTCCTGTAGCGTGCCCGCAGCCTCCGACCCGCTCCTGTAGCGTGCCCGCAGCCTCTCCGACCCGCTCCTGTAGCGTGCCCGCAGCCTCCGACCCGCTCCTGTAGCCCTCTCCTGTGCCCGCAGCCTCCGACCCTCTCCTGTAGCGTGCCCGCAGCCTCCGACCCTCTCCTGTAGCGTGCCCGCAGCCTCCGACCCTCTCCTGTAGCGTGCCCGCAGCCTCCGACCCTCTCCTGTAGCGTGCCCGCAGCCTCCGCCCCTCTCCTGTAGCGTGCCCGCAGCCTCCGCCCCTCTCCTGTAGCGTGCCCGCAGCCTCCGCCCCCTCTCCTGTAGCGTGCCCGCAGCCTCCGCCCCAGCCTCTCCTGTAGCGTGCCCGCAGCCTCCCGCCCCTCTCCTGTAGCGTGCCCGCAGCCTCCGCCCCTCTCCTGTAGCGTGCCCGCAGCCTCCGCCCGTCTCCTGTAGCGTGCCCGCAGCCTCCGCCCCTCTCCTGTAGCGTGCCCGCAGCCTCCGCCCCTCTCCTGTAGCGTGCCCGCAGCCTCCGACCTCTCCTGTAGCGTGCCCGCAGCCTCCGCCCCTCTCCTGTAGCGTGCCCAGCCTCCGACCGCCCTCCGTGCCCGCAGCCTCCGACCGTCTCCTGTACCGTGCCCGCAGCCTCCGACCGTCTCCTGTCTCCTGTACCGTGCCCGCAGCCTCCGACAGTCTCCTGTACCGTGCCCGCAGCCTCCGACAGTCTCCTGTACCGTGCCCGCAGCCTCCGACAGTCTCCTGTACCGTGCCCGCAGCCTCCGACACCGTCTCCTGTACCGTGCCCGCAGCCTCCGACCTCCTGTACAGTCTCCTGTACCGTGCCCGCAGCCTCCGACCCTCTCCTGTACCGTACCGCATGCCCGCAGCCTCCGACCCTCTCCTGTAGCATGCCCGCAGCCCGCAGCCTCCGACCCTCCTCCTGTACCCTCGTGCCCGCAGCCTCCGACCCTCTCTCCTGTAGCGTGCCCGCAGCCTCCCTGACCCTCTCTCTGTAGCGTGCCCGCAGCCTCCGACCTCCGACCGTCTCCTGTACCGTGCCCGCAGCCTCCGACCGTCTCTCCTGTACCGTGCTCGCAGCCTCCGACCCCGACCGTCCCTGTACCATGCCCGCAGCCTCCGACCCTCTCCTGTACCATGCCCGCAGCCGCAGCCGACCCTCTCCTGTACCATGCCCGCAGCCTCCGACCCTCTCCTGTAGCATGTCCGTATCCTCCGACAGTCTCCTGTAGCATGTCCGTAGCCTCCGACCGTCTCCTGTACCATGCCCGCAGCCTCCGACCCTCTCCTGTAGCATGCCCGCAGCCTCCGACCCTCTCCTGTAGCATGTCCGTAGCCTCCGACCCTCTCCTGTAGCATGTCTGTAGCCTCCGACCCTCTCCTGTAGCATGTCCGTAGCCTCCGACCCTCTCCTGTAGCATGTCCGCAAGCCTCTGACTGTCTCTTGTATCACGTCTGCAGCCTCTGACCGTCTCTTCTATCATATACGTAGTCTCTGACCATCTCTTGTATCAAAACTGTAGTCTATGACCATCTCTTATAAGTACACATCATATAAAACGAGCTTACACAGATAATATTGAATGAAGAGTGAAGCAAACAGTAAAGGGATTTACCTGAACACCATCAAATTTGTCATCAACCTTGGAGCTATACTGTACACGGAACATGGTGGAGAGGCTCCCTGCACTGTAGTACAGCAAGATCTTCAAACCCTTGTATCCAAAAGCCACTTCACTGATAAGACAAACAGAAAAGGTTTTTAGCAAATGTAAAAAAAACAATAAGCTATTTAACCACTTGAGTACCAGGTGGTACCTAAAAACAACACTAGGATAGCGGCTATTTGTGCAAATGTTGAATTTAAACAGCACTGGGATTCAGCAGCTGCAGTGGGTGCTGGATGCTTTTAGTGCTGTCAGTGGCAACCGGGTTCCAGCGCTAAGCCCAGGAGCTGAATTCCTCAGCTCCTGGGCTTCCGATCTGCTAAACAGAGCATTATATAAGGGCTTGACAGTTGCATGCTGGGATTCCTTATGACAGCTGAAAAAGTTTTAGTAGAATGCTTACTGTGATGAGTCTTTCTTTGATTGTCTACAAGTTACTGATTTAACAAATCCACCACCAGAAGCCTCTAAATAGTGTGTGGATGAACAGGTCTGGCACAGCACAGTCAAGTTATGTACACACTTTCTTTCTCACCTCCTCTGTGTGCTGCTATCTCCTGTCAGCATGCTCTCAGCCCAGGATGGCAGTTGCCCATGGGCACAAACGTGCAGCACCTGGGTGTTAAGGACCACCCATCCTGCCATTGCATGTGTACATACGGCTAGTGGAAACATATTGTTACTTTAATTTTGTTTTAGGTGGTGAAGCTTCTATTAGAGCCTTTCAGGTTTTTGTGGGGGAACAATGTCCCCAATAGTGTCACACAGAAATACAAACGTGACAGAAATTTTAACTCTTAACACTTCCAGGAATTCACACACTTTGTAAAAAGTGCAACACGCTATGAGTTAAGTCCAAGGAGATCCATAACACCTCTTGGAGTAATTGCTATTATTTACATCTGACAGGTTTATGGCTCACAATCAGGGCTGTGAAAGTAGAAAAGCACACAAAGCAGCTATGCCCACCTGTTCATTCACAGAGGCCTTTAGATTCTGTGAATTAGTTCACATGAAACAAAGGCTTCTGTGACTGACTAGGAGGATGGAAAGGGCGGGCATAACAGCTGCTGCGACTCTACGGTTGAAGATACTAAGACCAGAAGGGTACAGCGTCAGGCTCCTGGAACTATGATAGTTGTCTTTGGGGAGTTCTGAACAACTGTCAGATGTAAACAATAGAAATAAGTCCTTGAGGTTTCATGCACCTGGTTGGAATTAACCCACAGTGTGCCTGTACTTTTTTTTTACAAAGAAGCTGAACTCAGCTTTAACCCTTTCGCTGGTAAGTCCAGACTCCTGCCTGTCAGGTGGGAACATTCAGGCAGGCGCACCGCCACTTGATTGCTTTACACACACACCCTTGGTAACGTGGTCTGCATTCAGTGGAGCACAAAGGAGACCTGCATGTCTCATTAAAAAGAACCTGTCATCAAAAAAAATTCAAATTTAGAAATTTTGAGGCCCCTAGCTCCACATACATACATATGAATGTAAATGCATGCGTTGGGGGCGCCTACGCATGCAAACATCAATTGTGATACACATTGTATATCATCGCACATGATAGAGTGAGAGCAATAATTCTAGCACCAGACCTCCTCCGAAACACTAAACTGATGACCTTAGTGGGCTTTTGCAGTGTCGCCTATAGAAAATATAAGCTTGTCTCCATTTCACGGACGCACACGAATTGAAGGTTTAACATATTGGGTATCTATTTACTCGGTGCAACCTTGTCTTATATATTTTACAAAAAGTTGGGTAATTTATTACATTTGCTTGCCGTAAAATTCACTTTGTGTTTTTTTTTACTGAATTTGCAATAATATCGCATGACATAAACAATTGGAACTACCACTATTTTATTCTGTACGGTGTCTGCTTTCAGAAAACATAACATTTTGGTGGTTTTATGTAATCTTCAGGCCTAAAATGATTTTTTTTTTTAAACATATGTGCAACAAACAAACACAGCTCTGGCAGCGAAAGGGTTCATATAAATTTTTGTTTGAAAAATCGTATATTATAAATATCCTACTTACTCATCTCCAAATATCTGGTGACTGAACTCTGGATTAAAGGTTGTGCTATCATCCTCAATATCTTCAGGAAAGCGCACTAAAATAAAATAGGAAAATATGTGAATATATTTTACTGAGATTAAAACAAAGTTTAATTCTGATCCAGTATAGTGGCAAATGTGATCTAAGTTGCATCAGTTTCATTTAGTTTATTGCAGTGTGGATGGCAATTGTTGAATCGTAAGTGTAATTAAATTAAAAAAAAAAAAAAGAAAAATCAGAATAAGCGACACTACTGTCAGCGTGATCCCTAGTACAGATTTGATTTGAGCAGTTTGCACAAGAGTGAGCCAAACTACCTGTTGGCAGGTACAGAAGTCTAATTGAGAGCTAAAGAAATCGCTTGTTTTCAGTGATTGCTTCACAACGGCCCTTTCAAACTGATGCGTTCTCTTTGACTTACAATGGAAGGTGTCGTCTTTTGTTGCACTTTAGAAAAACTGCACCAAAGATGCAGCATCCAGGACTTTTCAAAGCACAGCGCACCTGCAGTGTGAAGAATTACATAGGATTTAAAGTGTTACTAAACCCTCAACAGTAAAATCAGTCTGTATATGCAGTAAAGCATGCTTGTTACACTTACTGTGAAACCTAAGGGGTTAATCCTCTGCATTGTGTAAAAAGGCGGTTTGATCCTGTCTTCTCTGGCAAGTCTGCACATGCTCTGTTTGGTGTGTATTGTTAGTTTTGTTTTTTGGGGGTCGGGGCAGGATGCATGTGATCAGCACAGGGCCAATCAGCACTCTCCAGACAGAGGGAGCTAAAATGAAAACTCCTCCTACAAGATTAACCAGTGCTCAGCCGGACACTGATAAAAGTCACAAGACTGATCTAACTGCTGGTGAATATTTAGCAGTTTATATTTACTAAAATAACTGCATTTCCATGAAAAGATATTTTGTTTCTAACAAGCAATAAAGTGTATAATTAATCCCCTTTAAACTAGTGAAAGCAGCTCACACTACTCGCAGACTCATAACCTGTGCGTGAAAACAGAATGTAAATATACAGTGCAGCGCTTCCCTATTCACATAAACCAATTCCATGTGCAAAATATAATGAACATATAACAACTGTGAACATGCATTAATAAAGTGAACATGTGTTAATGCAAAGTCTCTCAAAATTTGTTCCACTAAAATGAGCAATCTCTCTAACTTGAATAAACCTTCTGTCTTCATATAGATTAAATCCTTCACCAAACAACCACCAGATGTGCCCTCACCTGGAATTTTTCCCCCCGAGGAAGTCACATGACCCTGTGGCGTAACACGTAGGGGAGGGGCTGATGACGTTACAACACTCAATACATGGATTGATTTGGTATCTCAGCAGATAAGCGGAAGATGGTACATGTACACTTATGCTGACCACGCTGTTTTTATGTGTATTACACCTGGAGTGATGAGCACCTAGAAAATGTGAGTGGCCACTGTTTACATTTTTAATAAAATTTAGTTGTTTTAAGGATAAAGCACTATTGTGTTCCCTATTTTTCATATCATATATGTGGAGTGGAGGAGCTCTTTAGGAAGTGGTGATCTCTGAAGGAAGATCCTGCAGTGTGGATATGTACACCATTACATGTCCATTTCTTGGGACACATGCGTTTTTTGGTCTGACGTGATGCGAGGTCAAAAAAAACTCCAGGTGAGGGCACATCTGGTGGTTGTTTGGTGGAGGATTTAATCTATATGAAGAGAGAAGGTTTATTCAAGTTGATTGCTCATTTAAGTGGAAGAAATTTTGAGAGACTTTGCATTGACACATGTTCACTTTATTAGTGCATGTTCACAGTCGTTATATGTTCACTATATTTTGCACACAGAATTGGTTAATGTGAATAGGGAAGCGCTGCACTGTATATTTCCATTCAATTGCATTTCCATGTTCTGTGTACTGTGGAAGACCGAATATAGTGAATGCAGAGCCATGGGTTTAGAAACACTTTAATGGGGAATAGTTTTCATGCACTTTTGTCCTGGAAAAGCGCAGCAAAAGCACATCAGTGTGAAAGGGGCCAAAGGTTAAAATTCCATCATTTTTGTCCATGCTATTGTTATTTGTTTTATTATTACAAATATTCTGTTGAATCAAAAACAAAAATCAAAGTGTGTTTATTAAAAAAAACATGGAACAAACAATTATGGATGCCAATAAATTCGGTCAGTCTCAAGTTGTTTCAGAGAAAATTGTGGGTTGTTTTTTGTGGAAGGGTACAAAAAACCTGTTCGCAGATGGCAATGGACAAGACAGCATACATTCAACAGATCTACATAAAAAACAATGACTTTATGCATATATATAAAAAAAAAAAAAAAAAAAAAAACCCCCCAGAACATCATGTCACTGGCAAGAACAAGCTTTAGAATAAAGAAATAAATACAATATTTAAATAAGTGTATTTAACATAACCTGTAGTTGTTACTACATCAAACTACCAGAAATACCTTCACAAATAAAGACGAGGCACAGCCTGTATTTATCGATACCACTAACTGATAAAACACTGTTCTAAGCAACAGCACAATTAAAAGCAGGGCCTAAACAAATTATTCATGGGGGTTCTAGGTATGTACTGTAGAAAGCTAAGCAGCAACATTTCTGAAACCAAGTCATTGAGTACAGTGAGGCTGTAGGATTGAGTTGCTCCCATTGTGCTGTGCAGAACCCGGTCTATGTATGTAAGGGTCCTTCCAGTAGTTAGGAGTGACAGGCTTGATTTAAATGACAGCATCTAATGAACACACCTAATTTTATTTTAATGGCTTCATTTGTATTACACTTTACTCAGCAAGCTTCTTCTCCATAGCACTGAGACCTAAAGAAAAGGAGATGAAAAAATACATCACTGAGAAGCATGATTACGTTCAGGTATAAAACTAACATAGCAAGATTGAGGCTCGGTTCACACTCCTGCGACCCATTTGCGACTTTTATGACTTAACATTGCAGTCTATGGCACTCAAGTCACACCAAAGCCGCAGAAAGTAGTGCAGGAACCTGCACACATTACAGCAGCACCAATTAAAATGAATGTTTTGACTTGTCATTCAACTTTATGTGTCACTAGTTTCCTGATAAGTCACAACAATGTGAACTAGGGCTATGGCCCCATTCACACAGGTGTACCACTCTGTACATCCACTTGAAGGGCTCTCTTTACAGGTGTTCAGTGCAGCCAGCCTGTTCAAATCAATGACAGGTGACAGCAGCACATACCTGCAGGTACATCCCAGAGTGTAAATCTGTGCAGGTCCAATGCATGAATCAGAATGCCGTGTGTATTGGAGATCCATGCAACTAGCCACCTGTCACTGGTTTACAATGGCTGCCTGTGCATCCCCTGTGGGTGAGTGTTCGAATTGGCACACATGTATAAATGAGTCCTTATACATCAGTATAACCAGACTCTTATTACTAGCATTAAAGTAGAATTACACTCCCAATGTTGTTATTTTAACACATTTGGCACAATAAAATAAACATTTACCAGTAAAATATTTGCTAAAATTCTTACACCAGCCTTCACAGCTTTTAATATTGCTGGCTCCTGCTCTCTCAGTGCCACTTCCCTGAATTCCCAGTCTTCACAGGAGAGAGTTAATAGTGGACAGTACAGTCTCCAGCCTGTTAGCTTGGAGAAAAGAGAAGGAAGGAGGAGCAAGGAGTACCTTGCCATCCTAGGCTACAGGGCTTTGTGTTTCAGTTTCAATACATTTTTATTAAAAGTTTTAAAGAACATTAATTGTCATGGGAAATTATGGAGATACACAATTAACAGTTACAATAGAAGTGCAGAAATAGTAAAAAAAAAAAAAAAAAAAAAAAAACATACTTGCCTAGATGACTGCAGAACCGATTCCAGCTGCAGGTGTCCCCTGCTGCCTCTACACAGAGGACTGAATGATCAAAACACCACTGATTGCTCAATTCTCTCCACTCTGAGCAGAGAGCCATGAGCGTCTGTCACTGGCTCTCTTCTCTCCTCCTCCAGCACTCACTGGAGCATTGGAATGTGGAGGGGGTGGGTGCGGCTGGCTCAGGATCTCAGTGGCATGCCGAGAGGCTGCGCTAGCTGCTGGTCCAGGCTTCTGGGTGGATCCCAACTATTAAAGTCAGGATCTTTGCAGAGCCTGGACTGGCTGAGTGACGTCAGCCAACAGTGGACCACTGTCGTCCGATAATAGGTCACAGGAGTGTAGAACAAACTGCACTCCTCAGATCCATAGGAGAAGTAGAGCCAAAATAACTTTGGCTCTCCAACAAAATGTAAATTGTGAACAACAATAAAGTGGCACATCCGTGTACATGGAAACAGGAGGCTTACAAGAAGTAATGTGCCCAGGATACAGTGTTCACATCTGCTAAGGCTGTGGCCTGAGAGGCGTTAACATAAATCATCTTATCCAGGTAAAGGAGGGAGGTTATTTTTGTTATAGTTAGGAGCCACCATGAAACAGGTAATGTGGGGCACCGGTCATGGCATCAGTTTAAACTAGAACATAGCCAAGGATTGAAAGGTAAAGAAACTGATATTCAGTAATTGATTAAATCAGCTGCTGAAAGGGTTTAAAAAAAATGTAGTTTATTATTACTTTATTGGATGCAGTTGTCTACCACATCCCAGTAATATACAAGTACACTATATTGTCAAAAGTATTGGGACGCCTGCTTTTACATGAACATGAACTTTAATGGCATCCCAATCTTATTCCGTAGGGTTCAATATTGAGTTGGCCCCGCCCTTTGCAGCTATAACAGCTTCAGCTCTTCTGGGAAGGCTGTCCACAAGGTTTAGGAGGGTGTCTATGTGAATGTTTGACCATTCTTCCAGAAGCAAATTTGTGAGGCCTGGCTCGCAGTCTCCACTCTAATTCATTGCAAAGATGTTCTATCGGGTTGAGGTCAGGACTCTGCATGCCAGTCAAGCTCCTCCACCCCAAACTCACTCATCCATGTCTTTATGGACTTTGCTTTGTCAACTGGTGCGCAGTCATGTTGGAACAGGAAGGGGCCATCCCCAAACTGTTATCACAAAGGTGGGAGCATGGAATTGCCCAAAATGTCTTGGTATGCGATGCCTTAAGAGTTCCCTTCACTGGAACTAAGGGGCCAAGGCCAACCCCTGAAAAACAACTCCACACCATAATTCCCCTCCACCAAACTTTACACTTGGCACGATGTAGTCAGGCAAGAGCCGTTCTACCTGCAACCCGACAAACATGTCCATCAGATTGCCAAACAGAGAAGCATGGATCGTCACTCCAGAGAATACGTCTCCACTGCTCTGGAGTCCAGTGGCAGCGTACTTTACACCACTGCATCCAATGCCTTGCATTGCACTTGGTGATGTTAGGCTTGGATGCAGCTGCTCGGTCATGAAGCCCATTCCATGAAGCTCTCTACACACTGTTGTGCTAATCTGAAGGCCACACAAAGTTTGGAAGTTCTTTAGCTATTGAACAAACAGAAAATTGATGTTGCGCTAATCACAATGCCACAGACATTCCAAAACAAATAATAAGATGAGAAGACAATAGATAATACACCATAACATAATCAGTAAATAGAAGGAATATGGGAGTGAAGGGAAAGGTGAAATAATAAAGGTCCAAAATGAGGACCAAAATGTGTAAGACAATAAACCGTGACTGTGGGCAAAACTCACGGAAATGATCGGGGACAAATAATATATTAACTAAATCACAGTAATAGTGGGACATACGAGTCCGTCATAAGAGCGGAATGTGGTGACGTCATTTCTGACACGAACGGCCGCAGACATATTGGTACACCCAGTACACCCATATCAGCACGTGATTGATCTTGGATGCATGTTTGATCTGTTCCCATGGACAGTAAGTGCACATTTGTCTTTACAATAAATTTGATTCATTTACAATATTACACTATGGAAGCACTTTTTTTTGTCTCCCTGGGAGTGCTCCCGGTCAGGAGTTCTGTGCGCTGGCTCATTTCCGTGTCCAAAGGTGAAAGATATATTACCGCCGCTGAACAGTATGGTCCACCAGTGAGGGGGATATCATCCCTATATCGCCGTTTGGGATTCCACTTTAAGGGCCCCTGCAGTGAGTGTCCTGAAAGCCTTTTGGCCCCTTGGGGTCTGGGCATGGAGGTGAGCAAGGCATTTTAGCTGCTGTGGGATTCACTAATCATTTACCTATCCACGTTGTTTTTTTTTGGATGCGTTTTTTGTTGGATGTTTTTGCACATGGACTTTGTCGCATTTATGATATTTTTTTTTTCTCTTTTAGTCACGTTATTTATTTCTTCATTGTATTGTATTTTATGGTGCACAGTAATACATTCATTTGGTTTCACTGTGCGTTTGTATCACTATTTTCTGATTTATATTAGTTGCAGTCTATGTATGTTTGCCACATTTATTTATGGCATTTATATGGTCACTTAGTCGTTTTATGTCACATGGCCGCTTGATGCACATTGTGTTATGAGCCTTTAGTTGCATGGTCAAATTTTTTGGCCTCCCTGAGCGTTGTTATTGTCATTCTTCTGTGATAAGTGGTTTGTCCACTTCATTTTGCTTCACTCTCTCATCAGTTGTATTCATGTTATTTCATTTATGTTATGACGGACTCATATGTCCCACTATTACTGTGATTTAGTTAATATATTATTTGTCCCCGATCATTTCCGTGCGTTTTGCCCACGGTCACGGTTTATTGTCTGTTACAACTTTTGGTCCTCATTTTGGACCTTTATTATTTCACCTTTCCCTTCACTCCCATATTCCTTCCATTTACCGATTATGTTATGTATTTTGTTGTTTGTTTTTTGCTAGTGGTATAGCCAGATGTGTGCTGCTGTCCCAATAGTCCCATCTTTTCTAGTAGCGGCACAAAAAGGTTTTTACATATTCTTTAGCTATTGACTCTACAGACAGTTGGCGACTTTTGTGCACTTCGGCATGCACTGACCCCGCTCTGTCATTTTACATGGCCTACCACTTCTTGGCTGAATTGCTGTTGTTCCCAGTTGTTTTCACTGTATTATAATACCACTAACAGTTGACCATGGAATATTTAGTAGGAAGGGCATGGATGACTTATTACACAGGTGACAACCTATCACGGTACCACGCTTGAATTCAATGAGCTCCTGAGAGCAACCCATGCTTGATTTTATACACCTGTGGCTATGGAGGTGCTTGGAATACCTGAATTCAAATGATTTGGAGGGGTGTCCCAATACTTTGGCAATATAGTGTATATAGGTCAACAGAGAGAACACTGAACCCTGTGGAAAAGGAATGGTACTATTACACCCCAACACTAAGCTGGAAGGCTGGAAACACAAGACATAAAGCTGTGTGCAGTCTAGTTATTATATTTGAATACACCACACATGGATTCTGTGGTTGTGAAACTGTACATATAGTGAGACTTTGAATTGCACCCACAGTGCGGGGCAGTAACACATTGGTAGCCTACACGGTGGGACAGGATTGGATGAGACGATAGCTGAATCAGGAAGTGGCTCAGACTGTAGAACGGAAATACTGGAGGCAGTTTTAATAAACATTCTTCTATATTCCTTAACCACTTGCCATCCTGAGGATTTACCCCCTTAATGACCAGGCCTCTTTTTGCTATTCGGCGCTGCACTATTTCAACTGATAATTGTGCGGTCATGCAATACTGTACCCAATGAAATTTACATCTTTTTTTCCACACAAATAGAGCTTTCTTTTGGTGGTATTTGATCACCTGTACGCTTTAAATTTTTTGCGCTATAAACAAAAAAAGACCGAACATTTTAAAGAAAAGCGATATTTTCT